CAGGCTCGCCCGGGGCACTCTATCAAAGGCTTTCTCAAAATCCACCTGACACGCATACAGGGCCTGATTGCTGCCGGGCCGCTCATAACGACTTTTAAGATGACGAACAACGAACAACTGATGAACTGTACTGCGCTTTTGACGGGACCCAGCCTGAAAACGGCACCGGACACCATCTTTATCCCCGAAAGCTGCCAGCCGCCTGTCGAGAACCGTGGCATAGCATTTGGCAATGGCGCATCCCACAGCTAGACCCCTGTAGTTGTCCTTGACCCTGGGGTCGCCTTTCTTAAATAACGGACTGAGAGACGCCACGCAAAACTGGTCAGGCACATCCCCTGTATCCCAAATGTGCTGGAAAAGGTCTCGAATCGCAGGGGCAATAACATTGACGGACACCCTGTCTTCATCACCTTCACGAGGGATTCGCTTGGCATACTTGTAGCACTCGGCCGGAACCATACCCAGACCCGGGGAACGCCCATTAGACAGGGACGACAAAGCCGCCTCAACCTCTTCAAGAGTGAACGGACCATTCATAGTGTCGGCCATAGACCGTCTAGCATGCACCGGTTCGGAATCACGCCACGCCGCCCCGACTTGGGAGCCCGCACCGAGATTGATACAGTTGAGAATGGCACAGACACGGGCCTCCTGCACCTCATCGAAGGAGGCTGAGGCATTATAAAGGCGATCGAAGTAGTCCGTCCACTCCGACACGTCTTCCACATTGCATCTGGACGCTGGCTTACCGTTCAGACGTTGCCATAGGGTCTTCGCATCCCGTTTGCATGTAGCTATGAATGACTCCAAGGCTCGCAGCCGGTGATCCCGTCGCGCGTTACGCTTAGCACGATTAAACTGACGACGTAACTCTTGAAAACTCGTATGCCCCACGGCCGGGGCAGCACACCCCCACTTCATCACATCAGACCGATACTGCAGCATGGCCTGCTTAGCCGCAGCACACTCATCATTCCACCACGCCGCCTTGCCATTAGAAACCGGCCCGGGCCTGAAGGCATCACCGAAGCAACCCAGCAAAATCCGTTCGATAGTGTCCACCGCCTGGGTGACACCAATCTGGCCAGCACGCAGGGAATCCACAACCGCCCGGACACCAACCACAGGGGGGGCCTCCGGGTTGTAGAACATGTCTGTGTACCTGTGCGCCTCAGAGACAAGAAACGTCGGCTTGGGTTTACGCGTGGGTGGCCGGTCCGGCCTCCAAACCGACGCGAGGTGAAGGGACACGGGGTTATGATCACTCAAGCGGCGTTCTTCACGGTAAAAAGATTGCTGCGGCAGGACACGGAAGGAACGCACGCACGGGTACAAAGAAGGGGACGCAAGCACAAGGTCAATCATGCTGCCTCCCCCCCGGCTGGACTCGTATGTGAGCCTGCCCTCAGTGTCACCCGGTGCCCGCCCATTGAGAATGACAACCTCTGAAACCCGGCACAACTCGAGCAGTTTACGTCCAAACGCATTATGCTCCTGATCTAGCGACCGGCGGGGCACACCCAGCAGTGCTCTGTATGCCTCGCCGTCCACAAAAGGGCACCCGACCTCCTCTCCTAAATCGTCAAGATAGTCTAGGTCCGGGATGTCGGAGAGGTGGTTAGGCAGCCCCCCCACGCGCGCGTTCCAATCCCCCAGAAGCAGGATCCTCTCACCCGACTGGCGGAGGGCGCCCACGACGGTGGCCAGATGATCAAACACTTCGTCCGCTGCTTGTCCGTCAGACTCGTTGTGATATGCGGGAGCACCTCCTTCCTGCCCATTTGTTCGGCCGCCAGACCCATCCAATGCTTATACTTCGCCATGTGAATTCCTGGTTGCTTGCCATCTGACGGGTACACGTCTGGCTGGACATCTAAGCGCGTATGCTTCCAACCACTCACCAATCGGTCCTTGAACTCCAATACCACACCTTCTGGCAATGGCCTGTTCATCAGCCATTCCACTCGTTTGTCTACCTCGTGTAGCCCTTGCAGGGCACCTGTCCATACGTCGTGCCCCAGAAAACTTAGAAAATGAAGGAGTAGTGTCCCCCATCCGGCCCCTTCGGGGTTGAAGAGGGACTCTACGACCTTCTGTCGCAAAACTTGGTGTGCCACAGACCCACACTATAAACGGACACGATTCCAAAACCTCACAATCTGTTTAAAAACGTGGTAGTGTAGGGGTAGCCGCGACAATTCAGCGAACAGGAGACGATGCGTTGGTCTATCAGCTCCAACAAAAAGCCGCATGAACGATATTTGAAGCTTCAGCTTAAGCTGCACCGCTCCGTCCTCACCCCATCACTCGGCCTCCTAAGCCTGTCCAAGACCTCAGCTAGCATAAACGGCCCCGACGCTTGACAACCATACAACAGTATTGCTCGTACCTGCGTATCAAAACACCTCATCCTCACATCTGGGCCGAACAACTCCCATCCAAATTTGAACTCAACACGAACATAGCTGTTCTAGCTGTGTCACACAACTGCTGGCGGCAGCCCAAAACGGCCGTTCAAAACGGTCCATACGCTAACCCCAGGTATCGTGCACTCTCCTTAGCCGGTATGGCCTCACCAGCCATCCTGAACTCATCATGAACAGCACTCCTTGTGTCGCTGTCGCTTGCAAAAACGAAGCGTTCACATTTCGACACATTTGGCTGCATCCCAAAATCATCACAGAACAACATTAAGCAGCTCCCCCATGCGTCCCGGTGTCGTTGCCGGTGTCGTTGCCGTCATCGGCATAGAGGAGGATAGACACTCGCTCATTTCCAACCTTCAGTGCATCCTCTGGACTTGCCCTGATGTGAACACCGTCATGCATATCGATGACGTCCGCAAGAGTTTCAATGTAAAGTCCAAACAGCTTAGTTGATAGTGGACAGCCTTGTTTCACACCCTGTTTTGACTCACATTCCCCTCCAGTCTTGCGATTCGTCTTGATGACCATTGTAACCTTGTCATACGCCCACATCAGTGACCGCAGCATGGACCCTTCAACCCCCCTCTCCTGCAAACGAAGCGACATTATCTCCCAGGGCACCTTGTCGAACGCCTCCTCAGGGCGCGGTTCGTTTGTCGCTGGCGCTTCAGGTTTGCCCTCGGGGCGGGTGACCAGTGGACGCAGTCATTAATGCTGCGTTTAATCGTCTAGCGCTATGTGCCAGTTTTTCCGGCAGTTTTTCTCTGCCCTACAAAAGTTACCTCCTAAAATATTTTTCGGGGGGGCGCAGAGAATCATGCACCTAAATTTACGAATTTCTGCTTCTTTCCCTTCCTCCCTCCCCTTCCCTTCCCTTCCCTTCCTCCCTTTCCTCCTTTCCCTTGCCCCCTTCCCTTCCTCCCTTTCCACCTTTCCCTTGCACCCTTCCCTTCCTCCCTTTCTTCTCTTCCAGTTCAGCATACCCCTGGTAAACCGAATATTGTGACTCACTTGACACGGGTGGTAGCAGCCATGGCGGCAGTGGCAACGGCCGCCACGGCGGCAGTGGCACCGGTAGCACCCCCCTGGAGCGGGCCCGGGCAGTGGTGGACTTCTGGGCGCGTTTGCGCTCTTTCGCGGCGCTGGGCATCCCACGGAGAGGCTGAGACAGGGTGGGACCCAACAACCCGATCCTGTCGGTTTCAGAAGGAAAAAACACACGTTGCGCTGTGCTGGAAATTACAGCCTAAGAGCGCCTTGAGCTCAGTAGGAAGGACAGCTCTCGTGTGGGATGTAGGAGTTGAGGGGGGTTAGGGGGTGAAGGGTAAGGGAGTAGGGGGAGGGGACCCCAAGGCGGGAGAGGGAGAGGCGACGGGAGGCGGGGTTTAGAGGGGCACGTAGTGCAGGGAGGAGCCCTTCTTCTTCCCTAGTGCCGCTCTGAGGTTGTACGGGGTTGGAAAAAAGGGGGGGAGGGGGGGACTCTCGGGTAAGGGAAGGAGGAAAGGCGGTGAGAGAGCCAAGAAGAAGGTTCAGGAGGTCGAGTTCTGGTGGTAGCAGCGGGGCTCGGATGAGGGGGAGATGTGGCCCGAGGACGAGCAACTTCCGGCATACACACACCCTTCCCACTTCCCTCCGCCCCATCCCCACCGGCCGGCCAGCCCTCTAGGAGGTCGGAATCCTGCATCCTGTATTCTGCATCATCGTCGTCGTATTTCGGCACGTCTTCTTTGCGGGACTGGGTTGCTTGGTAAGGGACGAGAGTGAGAACTGTGCTTTATGCGGCAAGGGTGGGTAGGCCAGCCATTCCGGTCTAGTGGTGGTCAAGGGGAGGCGCCGCGCGGCCGTTACATTGCAGATGCATGTTGCACACAGTGCGGATCTTCCGCCTCTGCGTTTTACCCCTGCACCGCGGCTGCTGCTGCTGCTGCTGCTGCTGCTGCTGCTGCTGCTGCTGCTGCTGCTGATGATGATGATGGGGATGATGTCACTTAGACTGCTTGGCCCACATCCCGTCCCGGTGTGGAGATGGAAAGTGTTCTTTGCAAGCGTGGCCCTGTGGGTGTATCTGTCTGCCTGTCTGTCTGTGTATACATGCCGATGCGATAATTGTATAATGCACACGTGTCTCCTGTCCGCTGGTGTTGAGCTCCTCATCTTCACTTACGAGTAAGAATGTCATTTAGAAAAGATGTGTATTAGTGGTGTCTTCACGCTGTCTGTGTTCGTATACGGGTGCTAGCTAAGCACTGTCAACAACACAGACGTAGTGCGAGAGCGCCACACATGGGACGACACATGGGATAGACAACGACGAAGAACTCTTCTATCCAGAGTTCCTCCATAGCGCGCGCGTGTGTGTGACTGTGTGTGTATCGCATGTCCAAGGGATGCCGAGAGGGCCCTTTGCTGAGAGATGAGGTGGCCGAAGCGGCCCTTTGCTAGCAGAGAGGACCCTTCGCTGGCATGTGCGGCTCCTCCAGGCGCTGCAGTACAACTGCAGTACCGCCACAGGTGCCTGATGGCGCATCACCAGCAGCGGCAGCAGCAGCAGCAGCAGCGGCAGCCACTGTTTCAATGGGGGGCAAGTTGGGGTTTTGCTGCTCCCGGCCGCCGGTCGGTGCGCGTAAGGTCCACCAAGGAGATGGGGTCTCCCTGGAGCAAACACAGGAAGCAGATCCAGGAGGTGCCGTACAATGCAGCCGCGATCCAAAACACAGCCCAGTAGCCGCCGGTGGCCTGTGTACGACAGGATGGATGAGGGAAATCCAGGGAGGGTGGGGGGGAGTTATGGTATTCTCAGGAAGGGATTCCCAGGGCTCAGGGATTGGCCAAATACACACACACACACCCCAATGAAAATATACACAAAATAAAATACACAGTTCCTGTCCGTGGCTCAGATCCTTTGCATCCTCGCAGTCACGCGCATACAAGTACGCACTTGCCTGGGGATACACACACACACACACACACACACACACACACACACACAAGCAGTTGCATTGCCCACACCGTTCCCCTATCGCGGCTCATATCAATGATTGAAAACCACACCCTTCACGGCACGAAGGGACGCGGCAACCACACATGTCACGTGCAGGGCCGCGCAACTCCTTTCCCACATATGCACGTGTGTATGTATGTATGTATGTATGTATGTATGTATGTATGTATGTATGTATGTATGTATGTATGTATGTATGTATGTATGTATGTATGTATGTATGTCTCGTGCCCATACACACCACACCTGCAACACCGCGCCCGTGGCCAGGTTGCCCGCGATGCCCCCCAGGATGCTGCCCGTGTTGGTGAGACCTAGGAGCTGACCCGCATCCGCAGCAGCCACGTCCTAGCCGGTGAGATCAAGGGGGGGCCAGGAGGTTGAGGATAAGGTCAGAAAATGCGGGAAAAGCGGTTCACGGCCCGGGGGTTTGTGGCGGGGAGAAAATCTGTGGTGCAAAAGTCAAAGAAGCAGCTGCAGAAGCCCCCCACGGCACCCCCTACGGTGTGGGGGGCTTCTTATGTAAATAGGGAAAATGTCAACAATCGTGCGGGGGGACGACAAACGAAGCCGTACATGAGCCTGTTGGGCCGTGGAGGCCAATGTCGTGTCGGGGGGTGGAGAAGGACGCGAGTTCAGGATTTGAGATTTTAGCACTTGGGGTACGATGGTGACGCTTGCCTGTATGTAAGCGTGGAAGCCGCCAAAGCTGAAGCCGTAGCATCCCACCGCCGCCACCAGGCACGCCGTCGCTGCTGCCGGCGGCAACGACCCCCCCGGCGCCGCCGCCAGCGGCAACACGGCCACGGCGCAGCCCAGTGTCGACACCGCGTGCATGCAGCGGCGTACGGCAAGCCGTTTCATTCGGCCGCTGCGCACCAGGCCGTCCGCCAGGCCGCCGGCGGCAGTGGCGGTGAAGGCAGCCGCAAGCCAGGGCAGTGAAGCCAGTAGGCCTTCCAACGACCCACGGGTCATGACCCAGGGTAAGAAGGACCGTAAAGTAAGGCCCGCGGGTAAAGCCGGGAGGAGGGGAGTCAGAAGTGGATAAAGAGGGGTATGAGTACGACAAACGCGTGAGAAGGGGGTAGTTGTTTCCGTAAGGCCCACAAGGAGCAGGAGGGTACGGCAGGTATGCGGACGAGTTCGTACCGACGGCAGGAGCTAATTGACGGGTTTTTTCTTAAAAACCCAGCACATATAAGGCCCCTTATCGGGAGCTCACCACCCACGCACCCGCCCGCCTGCCCCACCCAAACCGCGCGCCAGCCCCATATGGCCGACGACGACACACGGTATACCATGAAAACGATGTCATCCGTACCCGCACGTACGGTTGCCGTACGCGGTCGTACCTGCATTAGCGAGGTCCGTGACGCCCAAGGACTGGAGGTACATCGGTATCCAGGCTTGCAGCACGAAGAAGCCCCAGCCAATCACCACGTGACACCAACAAAGCGCTGCTACCTGCAACAAAGGGGGGAAAGACGAACCGCACGCGATTGAAGCTGCTGCCAGGGCAAGATAGTAGCAACCGAAAGAACTGACCGAGGGGGGGGGGTTCCGAGCCCCGGGGACGTGGGGGGAAGGGAGGGTTATGTGTGTGTGTATGTGTATGTGTTGCATGCACGATGGAACGCGTCGCGTTTCCGCGTGTCGCCATGTGTAAGACAATTTTTGGTACCTTTCCGTGCACTTGCAGCGTCGCTTGGTGAATTTTACGACAATAAACCGCGCGCGTGTCCTCGTTGGGAATACATACATACATACATATGGGGCGTCCTGTTAGTCCTCATAGCCCTCAAGTAATATTCAAGGTCGTCAGCTCTAATGGTCTAATGGGCCCTTCATTTCATTTCACCTGTATCAGGGTGCGGCTCTGTCGTGCCGTGATGGAATCATCACCGTAATCAGATGCAGTGACCCATGGGTCGGCACTGGCCCTCCGCCCGGAACTGTCCAAAACGGCTTCGCAGGCTTCTCCCCCTTCACCATCGGCGGCCGTTGAGGCCGCCGCCGCCGCCGCCGCCAGCGCTGGGCCCTGGGCCTGCGCCGCAGCGGACGTGGATTCTGACTTAGCAGCTGCTCCTGGTGGTGTGTTGTCTGCTGGTGCTGGTGCTGCTGCTGCTTGTGCTGCTGCTTGTGCTGCTGCTGCTTGTGCGGGTGTTGAACCTGGTACCGAAACAGGCTCCATCGGTCCGGGCTGCTGCTGCTGCTGTTGTTGTTGTTGCTGTTGTTTTCCTTGTCTTTGCGAAGGGAGCTGTGGTCTAGGTCCCACCCGCGCCACGGCAGCACTGCCCAGCAAGGCCCACAGGACCCCCCCGGCGGCGGCGGTGACGAACGCGGACGCCCAGCCGCCGCCGCCGCCAGCTCCGCGGCTGGCCAAGTGGGGGGCCACGATAAGGCCCAGCACGCCGCCTGTATGTACGGCATGCAACAAACACACGAAGATTCTGTTGTTTGTCCATTGCAACCCAAACCTATTGCCCCGACGGGGAGCCAGCTTCCTAAAAACACAAGGCTGCCGTACACATGTAGTACGGAAAATGAAATGCACAAACCACCCAACGTCCCGCCTTCTTTTTCCTGTGAGCCGGCGGGAGTGTGTCCTGATTATCGTTATACACCAGACTCCTCGGGGAGTGTGTGTGTATGTGTGTGTATGTGTGTGTATGTGTGTATGTGTGTGTATGTGTGTGTATGTGTGTGTATGTGTGTGTGTGTGTGTGTCTACCGCTCATGAACACAAAAGGACACTGAAGAAAGGGCTTCTTGCGTATTCACGTCATTGTCCCCCCCGGCACGGTCCTGGTTCCCCAGCTTCCTCCCTCCCCCCTTACTTGGCGCCCTCATCCCCTAAAGCCCGAAATGCGTAGTGCCGGTTTCGTTCTCCCCTTTCCGCCGTTAATGCTTATAATGATATAAGAGATGCTCCTCTTGGGAACTATTTAAATATTATAACTCCTACTCTCGCCTACGACCTCCTCATATCAGTCCCTGCCTGTCCTGTTCACCTTTCTTCTCGCCTGTACTTTAACCCCCCCCCCACCGTCCGCATCCACAATCCCTCTTCAACACCGGTCCCTGCCCATCTTGCCCCTTCCCACCTTACCCTCCCCCACCCCTCCTCCCCCACCATGCCTCCCCTCCTTACCCCTCCTCACCTACCCACGTTGAAGAAGGCGTAGATGAGCGCCAGCGTGGCGGCCTTCCGCGGCGCGGGCACCCATTGCGCGGTGGCGGCGGACACGGAGGGCATGATGACGGAGGAGAACACGCCCACGCACACGCGGGCCGCCAGGAGTACAGCCAGCGCCAGCAGGTGGCCGCTGCTGCCGCAGGAGGGGGCGGCGGCGGCGGCGGCGGTGGCGGCGGTGGCGACCGACCACAGCGCCAGGCCGGCAAGGAGGACTCTGGCCCGATATAGCAAAAGATACAGGGCAAAAGGCCAGAAAGGGTAAATAAGGATTGAAAAGAGGGGGAGGTGTAAGGAAAGGGGACAGGAGCGGGAGGGCAGAGCGGGGCAGCGGAATGACTTTGGGGCAGTTCGTACAGGAGGAAGAGAGCGGGACAGGGGCAGACGCAGAGGGGAACGATAGAGAGGAGCACCGAGGCGTGTGTGTGTATGGGGGCGGGGTGGCCCGGTTAGGATATGGAAAAAGACCTGGAGGGTGTGCGTGTGTGTATGGGGGTGGGGGGGTGGGAGGTTTGGGTTGGGGAGGACGGAGAGAGAGGAAGCGGGCTCTGCTCACACGAACGTTTTGTGCTGACGTTTTTTCAGCATGATGTTGTGTCGATATTGTGTGGATATTGTGTCGATGTGTGTATGTGAAGATGGCGAGTGATTTGCAGGAAAGCCTGGAGTCGTGCGGCGGTTGCTGTGTTTTTAAAGAGTAAAGAGTTTCGTTGTCGATACCTTACGGTTTGTTTCTACCAGGGTTGGGATGCGGGCAGGGGGTGCGGTTGTTGTCGACGTCCTAGCCAGCCCTAGCTGACTGCTCCCCTGATCCCACCCTCTCTACATCCCTTCCGCCACTCCGCCTCCGTAATTTCCCCCTCCACCCTCCTTCCTTCCCCCCTCCCTCCCTCCCTTTCCCCCCTCCCTCCCTCCTTCCTTTCCCCCCTCCCACCCTCCTTCCTTCCCCCCTCCTCCCTCCTTCCTTTCCCCCCTCCTCCTTCCCTCCCTTTCCCCCCTCCTT